TAAAATTCACTTGTAAAACCATCTGGTCCAGGGCTTTTCTTGGTTGGATAAGATGTATACTTATTCACCTTTTCCTAGAAGAGCTCTGATGGTGTAATCTATAGAGGCTGTCCTAACACAAAGACTATACTTCCCTGGCAGTTCAAATCTACCAGCAGCTCCTTGGAAGAAAGATGGATAATCTCTTGTGTGAATTATAGCCTGTGAAAAATCCACTGGCTCTGTCCTGAGGGCTATGCGTTTTGAGTTTTGACTTGTTTTGGGTTTTTTTCTCATTTGATAGCCAACAGTTAAACAAAACCACAAATTACAATTCATAACTAAAACCATCGGATCAACAATAAAAAAAAAAATGTAGCTTTGAAAATTAGGTTTCAACCTTCCCTTGAGCATTATGGATAGCAACCAAAGCAAATGCATTACTCTCAAGTGGATTCTGACTCACAGCAAACCCACAGGACAGAGCAGAAGTTACTTACAGGGTCTTGAATCTTTACAGAAACAGACTACCATAGTTTTTCTGCTTCAGAGCTGCTGGTGGATTCCAATTATTGACTGTTTGGTTAGCAGGCAAGCACTTAACTACTATATAACCAGGGTTAGTAGTGGGAGAAGCCAGGGAAAATGAAAGATGAACAGTGACTTTCATGTGATCATGAAATCAATCATTGTTACATTCTGTTATCTAAGTACAGTAGATTTTGGTACAGGTGTTTTTTTTTTTTTTTTTTTTAAAAAAAAAAAAAAAAGCTACCCAGGTCAAAACCTTTTAATAAAGACTTTCCCACTTACTTTTGGAAGCTTCATTAGATGAAATAGCCTTTTCTAGTTGGAAAACAGCATTCCTCTCATCTTCACTACTAATAGGAACATGATCTGGTTTCCGTGCAGTTTCATCTGTTTGCACAACCTTTAAATATAAGTTTATATATTATCACATTCTGCACTTAATATTTACCTCTTATTGTCTTATAAAAATAATCACCTAAAGAAAAAGTTACCTTATACTCCATTTCTTTTTAACCAGAGTATTAATGGCAGTGGTAGTTCATATCTTGTTTAGAAGCTCAGATGGTATAGCCCATAGCATGTAGTATCTCTAACCAAAAAGCTGTGACTCTAAGTAGCTCAAATCCCCAAATGGCTTTGACGAAAACAGATGAGTTATTTCCCATTAAGATTTACAGCCTTGGAAACCCAGTGGAAGGTCATTATGAACTGGAACCAACTACATGGCAATGAGTTTAGACAGATATATGATTAGTACCTATTTCCTTGCATTGGCATGTAAATTCTATGACAGAGATCTTTACTTTACCTGTCTTTTTCACTAAAAAAAGCAAAAGAACTCCAACCAAACCTGCTATAAAAAAAGAGTTACTAAATATTCTATAAAAGCTGTAACTACACTGGGGGAAAAAACCCCTCTTAAACTAATAAACCAGATATGTTGATCTCAAGTTGGTTCCAACTCAAAGCAACTTGCCTCCATCAGGTTTCTGAGGCTGCAAATATTTACTGGGAGAGACTAGGGCATCTTTCTTCTCTGGTGCAACTGATGGGATTGGAACAGCCAACCATTTAGCTTACAGTCCAAAGATTACACATCATGGTTGTTGTTGTACAGCATCAAATCAGAATGGACCTATAGCTGACTCTACAGTAGGTCTTCACAGACAACAAATCGCCCAGAAGGTGAATGCCCATCTTTCTCCCAGGAAATTCTCCCATATACCTTTGCATAGGCAACATAATTCCTTACCACTAAACCACAAGTGCTCTCTACACATTAGAGATCCACTAAAGTTTTGTAGACGCCTCTGGTGGCTTAGTGGTAAGAAGCTGCACTGCAATCCCAAAAGCAAAAAGTTCGATTCCATCAGCTGTTGTGCAGGAGAACAACGGGCAGTCATCTCCTGGGTGATTAATTACTCCTGAAAACTCACCAAAGGGTTAGATATGGGTTGATTCTGACTCAACAACAGCAAACAAAAAAATTCTACTGTGCTGTTATGTGCCGTAAACTAGCCCGAGACTTAGTGATCCTCTCTACAGCAGCTCTGAACCTTGCTCTATCCTGAACCAATTTTATTGTCTCTGACACACCTACCCACATTACCACAGTCAGAGTTGATCCATCTCAAGGGTCTTCCTCTCTTGCGCTGTCCCTCTACCTTCCTAAACATGATGTCTCTCTCCAAGGACTGGTCCCTCCTTGTTAACATGCCCAAAGTATGTCAGACAGAGCTTCAGAATCCTTGTCTCCAAGGAGCAGCCTGGTTTCACCCTCTCCAGAACAAACTTATTTGTACTCTAAGCTTATTGTTAGGTGCCGTCGAATTGAGCATGACTCATAGCGACCCAATAAACAAAACATCTGAACCCTGTTCTATCTTGTGACATCCTCACTCTTCCTGACACACAAGAGCCCATTGAAGCAGTCACAGCATCAATCCACTTGGCCAAGGATCTTCCTCTCCTTCACAGATGCTCCACCCTTCCTAACATCATGTCATCTTGAAAGAATAGCAAGCCCAAACTAGGTGAGGTGAAACCTCATCATTCTTGTCTCCAAAGGGCATTCTGGTTGAATCCTTTCTAAGACATATCTGTTCATTCTCTTGGCCATCCATGTGATGTTCAGTGCTCTTCTCCAACACTATAGCTGAAAGGTGTCAACTCTTTACTGTCATCCTTACTCACTGTCCAGCTCTAAGATGCATAGCTAGTAACTGGAAAGACTATGGCCTGAATCAGACACACCTTTGTCTTCAAACTGACATCATTACTCCTCAATAATTTGGAAAGATGCCTTACTGAAGATTTCCCCCAGTGCCATGTGTCTCATTTCCTGACTGCTGGTACCAAGGATGTTAATTGTGGATTCAACAAGATGAAGCTGTTGACAGTTTCAATCTCCTCTCCATCCATCATGACACTGTCTATTGTTCTAGTGGTAAGAATCTTTGTTTTCCTGACACTGAGATGCAATCCATACCAAAGCCAGCATTTCTAGAACTTTTGTAACAAGTGCTTCAAGTCCTCCTTACTTTCAGCAAGCAAGGTTGTGTTATCTGCACAACAGAGGTTATTGATGAGTCTCCCTCTAATCCTGAGGCCACACTCCTCCTTGGAGTCCAGCTTTTCTGAAAATTTGCTCAGTATACAGACTGAAGAGGTAATTCTATACCATAAAATGTCGTGAGTAATATCCATATGCATACAAGAAGATCTGTTAACGTGACAATTATTCAAATATATGTTCCTATATCTAAAGCCAAAGAAGAAGAAATTGAGACTCTTTACCAAATTTTGCAGTCTGAAATTGACTGAACATATAATCAGGATGTGTTAATGATAATTGGTGATTGGAATGCAAAAGTAAGAAACAGTGAAGAAGAAACAGTACTTGGAAAATATGGGCTTGGTGACAGAAATGAAGATGGAAATAGAAGGAATTCTTTTTTTTTTTTTCCAAATAAAGGTTTTGTCAGCACACTGAATAGTTTTTAAAAACTGTATGAACTGTATCAGTAGAAATACCAGGTTTATCTTGCACAATGCCAAGAAAACCAACGATTCCAGATACTGAATTTCTCTTGCACTGTCCTTTGAACATCTCAGCAGAAATAACTGCTGAATGCAGATACCATGCAGTACATGGAAATAGAAAGAATTCTTATTTAAAAGAATTTCATTGCAAATACCTTTTCTAAAAGACATAAAAGACGAATTTACACATGCATCTCATTTGATGGACTACATAGGAATCAGACTGATTACATGTGTTGAAGAAATCATTGGAGAAGCTCAATATTGGCAGGAAAAACTAGGCCAGGAGCAGACTGTGGGTCAGATCATCAATTACATGCAAGTTCAAACTGAGGCTGAAGAAAATGAAAGTAAGTCCATAGGATCCAAAATATGATTTTGAATCAATTCCATCTGAATCCCATGATCAACTTAAAAACAGATTTGAGGTATTGAACACCAAAGATCAAAGACCAGATGAGTTTGTGGGATGGTATCATCCATGAAGAAAGCAAAAGGTCATTACAAAAACAGGAGAAAGAAAAAAAAAAATCTAAATGGATGTCAGAAGAGATTCTAAAAATTGCACTGGAGCATCAAGAAGCCAAATCTTAAGGAAAATATGTCAGAGAAAAAGAGGTGAACACACGGTTTCAAAGGGCAGCTTGGGAGCACAAAGCAAAATATTATTATGGAATGTGCAAAGTGCTGGAATTGTTCTCTGAGCAGTTCATGGTATATTCAATACTATTCTCAAGCACTCAAACGCATCAATTCTATCATCCTTAGTCATAGTCCAGTTTTCTGATGCATTGCAAGTAATTATGAAGACTGTGGCCTGGATTAGGCACACCTTAGTCTCTAGACTGACACTTGCTCTTCAGTACTCTGGAGAAGTCCCTGACAGCGGACTTTCCCAATGCAATTCGTCTTTGGATTTCCTGGCTGCTGGAACCAAGAGTGTTGATTGTGGTGTCAAGCAAACTGAAGCTGTAAACATCTCAATCTCTTCACTGTCTTCATGATGTTACTAACTAGCCCAGTAGTGAGAGTCTTTCTTTTCTTGATGTTGAGCTTCAATCCATATTTAAGGCTGCAGTCCTTGACCTTCTGTAGCTAATGCCTCAGGCCATCCTTAGTTTTGGCAAGAAAGGTTGTGCCTGTGCCTGTCATCTGCATAATGCAGGTTGTTGATAAGTCTTCCTCCAATCTTGACGCCACATTCCTTCTCACAGAGGTTGGCCTCCTATATGATCTGTTCTGCATATAGATTGAAAAGATATGGAGATAGGATGCATCCCTGGTGTACATATTTAATTTTGAACCATGCAGTGTTACTTGCTCTGTCCTGATAACTGTCTCCTGGTCCAAGTAGAGATTTCAGATAAGCACAATTGCCATTCTTCTCAGAGTTATTCAAAGGTTATTGTGATCCACACAGCAAAATGTCTTTGCAGTCAATGAAACACAGGCAGACATTCCTCTGGTACTCTGCTTTTAGTCAAGATTCATCTAACATTAGGTATAATAATATAATCTAACATTAGGTATAATAATAATATCCCTAGTCTGGCAGTTCTCTTTCTATGTGCTATTCCAGTCATTTTTAGATAATTTTCAGTAGAATCCTGCTTGCATGTGATATTAACGATACTGTTCAATAATTTCTGCATTCAGGTTGCCTTTCTCTGGAATGGGAACAAATATCAATCTCTTCTGGTCAGTTGGCTGTCTTCCAGATTTCTTGGCATACCTTAGTGAACGCGTCAAGGGCAGCGTCTATTTGCTGAAATATGTCAACTGGTATGCTATCAATTCCTGGGCCTTCTTTTTTGCCAATTCCTTCAGAGAAGCTTGAAATTCTTCATCGTCACAGGTTGTTGCTCTCATGTTGTTCAATGAAATTCTTCTGTGTCAATATTTAATAAAGTTAGTATTAATAATTTCTACTTCTAATAAATCTATGTTAGCCTACATCGTATAGCTCTGAGTGGTACTGTGTATCTAACAAATTCATATGTATCATATGCTGTTGTTGTTGAATACTGAGGTATTCAGGATTTAATGTACTCTAGCCACTGACTGATTGCCATGTTAGATGAGGGGGACTGTGTGAGTAGAGTGTGAGCTTATTCACAAGGCGACTGGCTAGTCTCACCCATCCACAAGGGGATAAAAAAGGATCCAGAAGCAGAATTGGAGAAGCTCACCATTAGCAAAGCAGCAGCAAAAGAAAGCACGGTCTTTTGGGGCCAGAGATTCTTGTGCCAGTAAGACCAGGGCCAAGCAGTTGCAGCAGAGAACCAGACACCTGATAGGAGATGGAGTGGACCTCGAGACTGTTAACCCAAGGAGCCAGAACTAGGAGGTTTTGCCCAA